ATGATTTGAAAGTTTTGCTAATTGCTGGGAAATCTACAAAATATTTAGGAATGTGATGTTGACTCCTAAAAGTTATTTTTTTTGAAAATAATGATTTTAATGAAAAACCAGATTGAGTTATTTCAATTGTGCCCTTTTGTTTCTGAAATGTTTTATTCCATTACAGTTAGACTTGTGGAAGAAATTAGAGATTTGACTAAATCGTTTCTAAAATTAAAATATTAATATTTTAATTTTAAAAGACTGAAAAAAACTTCATTATGAGAATATTTGGCCAATTAAATTATACATGTATAAAACTTTGAATAAAATCTTTACTTAATTTAATCAACTGACATAAAATATTTTACTATTTTATATAATGTATATTGTGTCTACATGTATATAATAATTATGATAAAACATTGCAAAAGTACATGTATTATATATACTATATAGTATTTTTAAACTTTCTGAAGTTCCTTACAGAAAATTTTTGTAAGACCCTTTTTTTTTTTTTTTTTTTTCTTTTTTTTATAAAGAATGATTTAGGAAATCTCACACTTTTTCTTTTCTAAGCCTATTTTCAGAGAGAATGTAAATATTGTTTTATAAAAATGACCAAATTGGCATCTATTAGGTTTAAATGATATATACTTGGAAACAAAAATTCTGATTCATTGAATTTGATTATGAAATTTGCAGGTCCTATTTTTTTTTTTTTTTTTTTTTTTTTTTTACATTTGTCAAAATTTTGTTTTTAAATGTTTATAATATATATGTATATTTATATTTTCATGAAATTATTGAAATTTCATGTTTCTAATTGTTTGTTAATTGCTACCTTTCAGTTGTAATATAATTTGAAAGTTTTAGTGTTTTGTTTTTGTTTAATGTCATTTACAAAAAATTCTCACTTGCTAAAAGTGCACTGTTAGAAAATCAGTTATGTCGTAAATAAAATATATATGTATTTATATGTTTGTGCATATATTAATTTATGGATTTCTTTTCTAGTGTTTAACTACTTGTTGATATTTCATTTCTTTAAATTTTAATTGGTTTAAAAATCTTTCAAAGTATAGGAAAACGTGGACATCTGTTAAACTAACAGAAATAGCAAAACCTTTTTTTTTTTTTTTTTTTTTTTTTTTTTTAGCTCTAATATCATATTTTGAGACTGCAAAGTAAAAATATTGAAAATAGAAACATGACTAATTCAAATGTTAATGTGTTAAAAATCATTTAAAAATATTTTGTTGGTTGTTGAATATTGTTTATTCTATTTCCTCAAAAAGGCATAAACCTCTTAAATCCTTTTTAATATTTTATTTTGATATTTTTTCCTTAATGACCTGCAAAATTCTGTTTCTGTTTTTACTCATTTTTACTTGAAAGTTCTTTTCCATTGTTCTTATTTTTCTGGTTTCTAAGACAATTTGATATGAAAATGTAAGTGCTTATTTGCTTCCTACCTAAAATGGGTATTGTGATAATAATTTATCAAAAATGAAAATTTAGAAAAATTTCTATTTATATAAATTAGAAAATACTTTTGAAAGCCTTTATTATTTTACTGACTAAATTATACAAGTTGGATTCATTAATAACTTATATATTTTTTAAATTGTTTTTGCTTATTGTCTGGTTTACAATCCTTTCCTGTCTTTTGAAGAAGACTATAGGTTTATCCCTTGTTTCCTGTTTAGGATTGGGTTTCTGGTTCTTTCCCACTAAAGTCTTCTCATTCTTTTTCACTTCCAGTAATCTCCTTGCATCTTAGTGTCATTATCACCTTTCTTAGAGTGAAATGAATGATATATATATATATATATATATATATATATATATATATATATATATATATATATATTTTTGTATCCAAAGTGTTGTAACATCAGAATATCATATTTTTAGAATTTAAATCTTAACAGGTTTATAAACTTTCCTGATAACATTTTACAAAATTGTTTCTTTTTAAATCTTTTTTAAGTAAATTGTCATTATATACAAATAATCATCAACATTTTACTTGTTCAGTTGAAAGAATGATAGTTTAAATAAAATCTCTAAAAAATAAACATTTTATATAGATGTTAATTTGTAATTATTTCAACAGAATCTGATCCTTTAGAAATGAATGGAAAGGTTAAAAAAAAAACTGGTAAAGTAACATTAAAGAATATTCATTGAGATGTCATGAAGTTCTGATTGTTTATGCCTTATTGCTATTTTTCTTTATTCAAAATAAAAAATTAAGAAAGTTTTAATAAATGAATACATACTATGACATTATTTAATTCTCATAGTTTAATTCTCTTTGATACTGCAACAGTTGTTGCAATATAATTGCTTTTCATTTAAATACAGTAACCTGAACACATTACTTGCCAGATCTTTATATATATTTTGGCAAAGAGGAATGTTAATTTAGAAATGACATCCTTCATCTTTTGATTTATAAATAAATCTAAAAGAATTACGAATTAAAACCTATATTGCAACTATAATAAAAACCTGTATTTTGACTTGTGATTCTGGGCATTTATATTCTTAAATTTCACTTTGTTTAAATAACAAATAATTATAGTAATGCATTGGGAAGATAAAAATAAACTTTGCATTATTTGCAAAATTTCTTTTTACATTTATATCATGTCTTTCTATTGAAGTTTCTAATCAAATTAGAAATATTTACAAATAGGGGAGACTATTTAAATTTAATAGATTTATTGTGACCAAACATATTGATAATGAATTTGCAATCACTGAACAAAGTTTAATAGTCGTACTGTTTTTCTTATATTTTTCATCTTTAACCTAAATTATTGCAAAGATTGTTAAATTTTTATCAATAATTTTATTAAAATGATTACTTGGCATAATCATCTGACAAAAATGTCAGTGTTATGGTAAGATATAGTTACTTCACTAAATTAAAGAATTTTAGCCGAGAAAAATAGCAATTCTTGATTGCTAATTAAAGATATTCATTATATAAAAAACAAAACAAAGACATACAATATTTAAGAGAATAAGACACCAATTACTTTTCACCACGAAAATGTCCCCCAGAAATGTCCTCTTAATCTTGTATTAAAATGAGATATCTTGTGCACTAATGTCTACTCAGATACTGTAGATTACCAGTACATATTACCTAGCCTAATTCTATAATACGGTAATATTAAATGTAAATAAGAGGAATGTTTTTATATATCATTAGATATAGTATTCAAAATGTGGCATTAATTACATTAATTCTTTTATATTTCTATTACATGGACAATGAATTGATACTGCCTCTAACATTTGTATTCTGTTAATATATGAAAAGGAAATTTAAAAGCTATGCAAATTGTGTTTAAATGCAGGCTTATATTCAAAGATTTCAAGAAATATTTAATTAAAAATTTGATCTAACTTTATTTATATTTAAGTTTGTTGCAAAGTTCAGTGCTCTTAAAAAATTTTTCTCAGAATTCATAAGGAAATCTATAACTCCGTTTATCTACTCTTTGGTTTACCATAATAATAAAAAAAAAAATTATATATACATATATATGTAAAAAAATTTTTTTATCTATATATATATATATATATATATATATATATATATATATATATAAAATAAAACATTCCTAGAACTCTAGATACATACATAAAACAAACAATACATTCAATTAAAAGTAAAAATAAAATCATCCTTGATAATGACTAAAATTATAACTGAAAGTGCTTGGACATACAAAACATTTGGACAATTTCTACATAATTTATGTCCAGAAAAGAAAAAAAAATTATAAGAACACAAAATTTAAATAAAAAAAAATCTTAACTGCGGTACCTTGTCACAAGTTTTAAATGAAACTTGTATAAAAGAGGGATTGCTGCTTAAATATGCAATTGTATGTGTATATATATATATATATATATATATATATATATATATATATATATACACACACACATTTTTCTGAAGACAATTTTAAAATGTTTGGTAATGTTTTTGGTTTTCATTTAATGTCATATTTTTTATTTCTTTTGCACATTTTAATAGTGTGTGGAGTAAGTAATGTATGTTTTTTTTACAGAATTTTGAGCAAAGTAAGATATACTATGGGGATTTAAGAATAGTTTAATTTCTTTAAATATTAATTTAAGAAATCATACTAAATTAACAAAAGTGAAAATGAAAAAACACCCGAAAAACGAACAAAAACAGGTTTTATTAAAATATTTATTTTAAGTGAAACTACATAGTTCTGTGGATGGGACCAAATATAGATAAAGAATAAATATATTTAAAAATATTTAATACACAAATTTAATTAAAATTATGTAATTTGTAGCCATTTAAATTATACAGTCATTGAAAAACTGAAATGATTTTATGAATTATATTTTATCTATTCAAAATTTTATTAACAAAATTTGCCTTTATTTCATGGTGGTTATTTATTTTGCATCCTTAATAAAATATTCAGTATGAACTTTACTAAGAACTTATCAGAAATTATCTTAATATATTTATTTTGTTTTTATTTACATACTGAATTAATGTGTAGAAACCGTTTTTGTTTTTTTGTAAATTTAAATGTTTTATCAAAAATATAAATTTCATTAGAAAAACTTTTATAGCCTTTTATATTTTTGCTAAAATTAGCAAAAATATGAAAGGCTATAAGTTTTTCTTCTTGCCTAATAAATATAATATATATATATATATATTTTAACTTGGTACATTTTAAAATAAATTCCAGACATATTCTAAACAAAATGAACATAATTCTAGATTATTTAACTCTTGCATTACAAACAAGAATTATTATAAAATAAATTGTTTTTACCATGTATATATATCTTTACTAAATTTAAACTCCTTCAGTATGCCCTTTTCTTTTTTTTTTTTTTTTTTTTTTTTGTGTGTGTTTATTTATCTTTACCTGGAGCTTTAAGAACAATTCCAGATAACATAAAGCATTTACTATTGAATATTAACATTTGACATAAATTACCAGATAACATAACATTTACCATTTCTCTCTCCCTCCAGATAAATATTACAGTCTTCTCTTTTTTCCTTTTTATCTATAATGCTGCTAGTTCACACGTGATGCTTTTGTTAAATCTATTTCTCTCTCTATTATTCTTTTTAAAGATTTTACTGACTGATATCCAAGAATAAAACAGAATTATCATTTTGAAGAGCTTATCTTTGAATAGTGAATTTACCGTGAAACCCTGACAATTACTTTGGCATAAGAGACATGCATAACAAGTAATGAATCACTTTTGTTAAGTCAGACTAATCTTGAGTTTTACTTTCATAGGAAAAGCATAGCTGCTTTACAATTATTTGTTAATTAACTTTATACTTGGTGATATTTTACAATTGAGAACACACTGTGAAAGAGTAAAAGCAAAAAAAATGTTCATGACTTCAAATCTAGAAGTCTTTTGTAGTGAAGATAATTTTATTTGAATTGAAATTTAATTGATTTTTCACTATATTCTTTCAACATAAGCTCTAACGCTTTCCATCATAAATTGTATAGATATTCAATATAGCTGACATATTTCTACAAAGAATTGACCTGCTCTGCAGCAATATGTAAATGCCTTTATCTTTATCTTCCTTGTAGTTAGTCTCTCTTCTGTTATTTATTTGGGTTGCATAGACCTATAAAATTATTGTTCATTTAAATACCAACTGAAGTTAACATTGCTTTGATCATTAGAGAATTTGTATTTACAATATACTGTAGTTATAAATGTTTGTCTCTTGAATGAAGCTTCAATAGTTTATCTGATTTAGTTTGTTTGTTATCAATTGGTCTATTCACTATTGACTCAATGGATTCAAGTTGATCTGTGATCACATATTTGATGTTTTAGTCAGTCCATATCCTGTTTGTTATCGCTTTGATGTTTAGTGGTTAAATCATGTTTTTTTACAAAAAATAGATTTTTTTTTTTTACCTTTGCCCTAGTTTATTTTTTGTTCATGACCAAAAAGCATTAAAAAAAGAAAAAAAAGAGAAAACTGCATTTACTATATTGACATTTATAGGAAAAGATTGCAAATTATTTTATCTCAAACAGAATAATATTAAATATATTTACATACTTGACTATTAAAATTGTAACAAATCATTCACATTAATTTTGTTGCCTAAATTTCTCTCTTGACTGATTTTCTTTAAATAGTGAAATAAAAAATATTTTTTCTTTAAATGGAAAATAAAACACTTAAATTCTGCATTATATTTCCCCCACATCTCAGGCTTTATAAATAAACATGGTTTGTATGCATGTCTTTAAAGACATTCATTAACCAATTTCAGATATGCAGTCTCATGTTAAATTATCATACATTTCAACTGCATTTTCAACTTTTACTATTTTTAACTTTTTCAACTTGGTTACAATAGATTGCATTCAATGGTATATTATCCAACCACAATATGTTCCTTGGGTTTTATGTTCAGCAAACATTTCAATTTTGTTCCCAGGAATTGCTGACCTAACTCTATTTGATTTTGTTTTTCTTTCTCATTCTCACTTCGATCAATTACCATCAATACATATATATATAAATTTTTAGGAACAGAATATAAGTCAGTTGAATTATCAAAAGGTAAAGATTTTTAAGTTTACAACATTTTGGGTTTTGATCTAAAGATATAGAACCATTACTGAAGTTAACCATCTAAAGAAAATTGTGGTGGTAGTCTTTTTTTTTTCTTCTTTTGTCAGCAGTAAATAAATCAGTGTTATTGGTGAAAATTTATTTCTTTCTCTATTGGATCATGTTATTTAAGTCATGGCAATTATGTGTGAAAAATAATATTGCCCAGGGTCTACCAAGGTTTTAGCAGCACACCTCCACTTGTGGTCAAATTTTGATGGTGTTCCTGCATAGTTGTTCCTCGGTCTCACCAATATGGCTTATCTCATTTTTCAGCTGTTGAATTGTTGTTGGCTTGTTGGCATAGACCTTACTTTTGAGATGACCCCAAAGGAAAAAATCTAAAGGCATCAAGTTTCACAATTGTGGTGGCTAATTGACTTCACTGTTTCGAGAGATGATATGACATGGGAACTTCTCATTCAATAAAGCCATTTTCATAATAGATTTTGATAACTTTAACATGTTGTTTGATTGTTAATCTTTCCATGGTTGAAATTGCCAAAGACTTAAGTTGTTAAATCTGAAAAAAAAAAAAAAAAAGAAAAACAAATCATTAGCCGCTTAAACTTAATTCACATTTAAAATCAGTTCAAGTTATTGGAACACCCTTTATATATATATATATATATATATATGTGTGTGTGTGTGTGTGTGGTGGGGGGTTCAACATGTATTTGTTTTTCTAAAACTGACATTGCTTGCTGTTGACATACATATACATTTTCAAGACACCATGAAAAGTTTATTCAATAGCATTTGTGTTATAAACTAACAAGAGCTTAGTTCTATTTCCAAACCAGTGTAGACATATAGTAACATACAATACAATCTGTTTTGTAATATATTTTTATTATATTGTGTGTTTGGAGTGTCATTTAGCTTAGTCTGTACTGTAGAGTATCCAATCGAGGACAAAATGGTGGCACCCATGAGAAACTGCCATTAGTGTCTTTATAGTTATTTATTTTCAGTAAATGATAATTTCTTATTTTTCCGAAAATGAACCAACACACTCGGGCAACAATACTATAACAATTTAGCAGTGAAAATGTTAATTTAGTCCCCATTTGTGCCTGGTTAAAAGAAAGTATCCGCTTTACCATCAAGGAATAATATGAAATTGAAATAAAAAAAAGCATTTGTAAATCTTTATAGTAATATATCACAAATTATGATATATATATATATATATATATATATATATATATATATATATATATATATATATATATAATTAATTTGAAACCTTTAAAACCATTTATTTTACATTCAACATCATCACTTGATAAGACACAGGAGGTGTTGAAACAAAATGGCTATTTTTGTAGTGGTTTTATAACATATTTATGTTATAATTTTTAAATAAATATATAATGGAATATGGGTGTGGGTAGCATAGTAGTTATTGTCAAGGAAAGTGGAAATAGTGAGCCGATTTGAAGTTGGCCTGCTAATTTCACTTCCCACACTGATATGTACTCACATATACCAAGACAAAAGTACAAATAAAATAATTAAAAATGTAGTCACTGTACATACTGTGATTTCTGCTTTCATTTCTTAAAGGTTTCACTATTGTGTGATGGTCAGATTGAAGTTTTAATTTTATTTGTAATTCTGTTTTGTTTTCTGAATTCTGAAATTCTTTTTAAAAGTACTCAAAATTTTTCTTCTTTCATGTTGATTAGTTATTAATTGATAATGTTTCATCTTTAATTCATACATTGCTACAGGCAAAGCTGTACTTATTTCTTTACAGATTATCAGCTTTCCATTTTGGAATTATTTAGCATTATGCAAAAATTGTTCTAAAAATAAGATACTTACTGTCTGCTCTGTTGTTTTTTTTTTTTTTTTTTTTTTGAGCTGAATTCAAATTCTGACAGTCTTTTATGTTCACTTTGTACTAATGCCCTTAGAAAAGGCATGAATTTATCTTTTTATCCGCTTTAAGCTACAGGTTAAATAATGCCAAATTAGTCTCTCAAGTCTTGGTTGGCAAGGAGGAGGACAACAACTTTGAATCTAAAACAGTAGAAAAAGCAAACCATTTCAGCATCTTTTCCAAGAAGTCATGGCATTTCACATATTAAAGGAAGTTGTGGGGATCTATGGTCACCTTGAAGAAGCATGGCATTTAAGATTTATACATGAATATTTGGATATAGAAAACCATAAGCTTGTGCATTTAAAAAGATATTTATGCATCTGTACACTTGTGTATGGATGTGTGGGTATTGTAACAGATATTGTTGCGAAAAGTGGAATCAGCAAGCCAAGTTCAAATTCCGGGCTGGTCAGTTTCCTTCACTTTTGCACAAATACCCACCGGAAAGGCATGAAACTGTCTCTTCTCTCCCCAGCTATGGGTTAGATAGAAGAGCAGATAAGGTTCTCTTGTCCTTGATGGCAACCAGTCTAGGACAACTCTGAATTCAAAATTAGCCTGAATAGGGATGGGTTTTGTCAGGTTATCTTTCCCTAGACACACCCAGTGCTACTATGACTGCAGAACATATGGTGTACCTCCTCCCCCACCTATGGATTATAGGTCTCATGTGTTGTGTGATACTTGTGCAGTTATATATAAATGGCTTTCATTTTTCTAAACCTGTGTTAATTTTTTAAAAAAACTCACCTACCTTTGAGTACTAGTCAAATTATTAAATTATTTTAACCATGGATTAAAAGCTTTCACTTGCTTCATTAAATGGATCAGTGTATGAAAAAATTACATTTTTGTTAAGTATTATTCATTACTATATGAATCATGTTTCAGTTTACTGTGAAATTAAAAATCAAATCATTAAATAGTTTGGTTCTATAGGTTACTGGCTGCTCTGTAAGTGTGTTCTGAACAAGAGCAAATCCTCAATCCCTCCTTTCTTCAGTCAGTTTTAAGTATTGTCATTTACTGCAGATAAAGCAGAATGCTTTGCTTGGAAATTCTCTTCCAACACTCTTGACTCTTCAATTCAAGAATATCTTTCTCTGATTTTTCCCTCGAGAACATAATCTCAACTGAATGATATATATGTTCATAGTTCTCTGCTATTATATCTAAACTAGATCCCCATAAGGTAGGTAGATTTGATGGTATCTCTGCAATTTTCCTAAGCACATGTACTCCTGAACTGGTTCCTGTTCTCTCCAAACTTTACAATAAATGCCTCACTGTTTCTTGCTTTGTTGAAACTCCTCCTCTGTAGTTCTTGTCTTTCAGACTTCTAGTGAACCTTCTGATCTCTTGAATTATCATCCTATTAGTCTTTTACCTCTTTTTGGCAAAATACTAGAGGCTTTGATCAATGAAGAATTGGCTAAGCATCTCCTTTCACATGGTCTTCTTTCAAATAAACAGTACAGCTTTCATTTCACTAGGTCTACTGCCACTGTGTTAATGGTTATTACTGGATTTGTTTATTGGGGTTTAGATAAGAATGTTGAGTCTTGAAGATGTTCAAAAATATTTGGCACACTGGCATTTTCCACAA